TTTTCAAACTTATAAACTCATTCTTTAAAAACTGAAGAAAGAAAACCTAAATGACAATTAGATTGAAATGTCCTTAGCAACCAAAGAAGACAGTGAGGTCATAACTTCTAAATGAGTAACACACACACACACACACACACACACACACACTAAATTTTAACTCCAATTCAATGGATTAATGCAATTTCAAAAATTATGAAAATGAAAATAATTTAGAAACTTTAGAAAGTATGTATGAAACAATATTGAGTAAATGTGAGAGATTCTTATATATATTGTGATCATAACTGTATGTAACTGTTTTTACTGTCTTATCTGTTGCTTTATAGTAAATACCAGAAAAGTGATTTTTAAATGGGGAAAGGAGTTGAATGCTTTTTAATAGACACATATATAAGAAGAAGGAATTAAAGAAAGTGAAAATGAAACCAAGAATGGGTAAATATTCTTAGAGGGTGTTAAAAGTGTTTTTATACCTTTGAAACTATGGCCCTGGAACTTGGCCCTATGGCCTGACAATATAAGAGGGGGTCACTTCTGTTGAATAGATTGGCTCTAGAAGTAAAATGTTGCTTATATAGTAAGGTCTACTAAGTGTTTGTTTTTGTTTCCATAAATTACAACAGTCCCATGGGGGCCAAAATTCAGAGTTACATATTCTGAAAATGGTATTAAGATCTCTCACAAAGTAAAAATAAGCCATAATATCTCAAACTTTTAACTCCTTTCTGAAGGAGTCTGTCTACCATTGAAGCCTCTGTGTTCCCTATTCAAATTGAGCACATGGGTCCTCAGATCAAAAACGCATTGTAAGTACCAAGCAAGATAAATGAAAATAAATCCACACCTAGAGAAATTCTCTTTTCCCAGTTTTATTCTTGCTTCTAAACAACCCTACACTTATCCTATTCAGTGACCATCTCCCACTAAATTATCATGGCTGACAGCCCATACTCTTTATTTTTCACAGAGTGTGAGCAGGGGAGGGGCAGAGAGAGAGGGAGACACAGAATCTGAAGCAGGCTCCAGGCTCTGAGGTGTTAGCACAGAGCCCAACACGGGGCTCAAACCCACAAGCTGTGAGATCATGACCTGAGCTGAAGTTGGACACTTAACCAACTGAGCCATCCAGGTGCCCCTTTTTTCACTTTAAAGAGAGAGAGAGTGAGTGGGGGAGAGAGGCAGAAGGAGAGGAGAGAGAGAGAGAGAGAGAGAGAGAGCAAGAGAGAGAGAGAGAAAGAGAGACAAAGAGAGAGGGAGAGAGAGAGAATCCTAAGCAGGACCCACACTCAGCTCAGAGCCCAATATGAGGCTTGATTCCATGACCCTGGGATCATGACCTGAGCTGAAATCAAGAGTTGGAAGACCAATGAACTGAGCCACCCAGGCGCCCCCCAGCCCATACTCTTTGGAACTTACTAAACACTCTACTAAAATGATGAATTACTTTTGGGATAAGATACTACCTACTGGGTTGCATGAATGTATTTCAAAAGACCCTGAAACAGTAGCTTAACAGGGAATGACCCCAATAGGACAACTATTAGGCTTCATGACAATTCTTTGGGAATTTTGCAATTAAGTCTGAAGTATCTGCTCACCTCTAGGTAGTGATTTTAGTGACCACTATCAACAGTAGCAGAAAATAGGAGTGAAAGTAACCACATATATAAACATAATCTCCATGCAACCATCCGCTGGGAACCTGCAAAAATCTGGGGGAAAACAGTGGACCTTTCCATAAGATGTGGAATAAGGGTTTGACCCAATTTTATGTAAATTTTAAAGTGAAAAAAGACTTTCAGTTATACTCCGGGTACATTCATTGAGCCAGAGGTATTGATCAAAAGAAATGGGAAGCACTACCAGACAATAAGAGAGCCATCAACAAAAGTCAAACAAGAAAGAAATTTCCTTCTGATGTGTGAGCTACTGATTTTCCAAATACCACTCTGGCTCCAGCTTTAAAGAGTTACAGAGGCGCTGGGACAGCAGCAAACAGAACTTGACAGTTAAATGTGTCTCTCCAAGTGGCACCTAGAAATTCCCTTAGCTTTATAAATACAAAGCACAAATTGTAACCTAATTCTGCAAGGCCCTCCTTCCCTTTTCAGTCTTAAACTCTCATCCAGTTTTCATCTGAAGGGCAGAGGTGGCCACTATAATGTCTAATTTCCACAACTAGGGGAAGACACAAAAGATATGGGGGAGAGGAAACACAAAATTATTTTGCTGCACTGCTTTATCTCTGCCATCAAATAAATCATTCAACCCTGCATTTTTGCTGCAGATTAACTGGGCCAACTGCATCTCCTTTCTTCCCTTGGATCCCTGCCTGTGGCCGGGTCAATGCTCACCAACTCAGTAAGCAGAGATGAGTCCTGAGAAGAAAGACAGATAAAATTCAGTTGATTCTTCCCCTTCTTTAAAAAAGAATGATATCTGTTTTGTTGTTGTTCTTCTTTTTGTTGTTTTTAATAGCATGTGAAGCATTGACAATGCTACATTCTAATTCTAATCCGGTATCACCATTTTCCTATCCCAATATTGCAATTTTTATTGCCAAATATATAGCTTATACTTTTATTTTTTATTTTTTTTTTATACTTTTAATGCCATAAAACTTAAGCAGTTACCATTTGGGGGGTTATTTTTAAGGTTTCAATACTGGTAATTCTCTTTTCTGAGGTTAAGAAGTGTCCAGGCAGTTTCAAAGTTAAAACAAGGGCAAAAGTGACATCTGGACTCAGTTTTGATAGGGTTTCTCAGCTTTATTCTCACTTTCAGTGTGCAGAATCAGAAAGTTTAGGGGAAAATGGTATCTCAGTTCAGATTTTTCTAAAAAATTGTTTCTAAGCCATTTTTCTTCATTTTTCCCCCACGTCATAAGAGCTGGGCTGGCCACTGTAATGAGAAGGGTGGGGGGCCCAAGCATTAGAGACAGCTGAGGTGTTGGCTATAGGGAAGGTGGAGGATGTGCTGGTGGGGATCTTGTGACCTTGGCTGAGACATAAGTGACCTTACCCAACAAAGTTGTTTGTATCTTCAAGGAACAAATCCTACCACTTATGAACAGTTCATGAGCAACAGTTTGGAGAGGAAGCATAATGTCAAGGTTAAGTGAATAGATGCTGAATCTACACTGTGGGGTATGAATCTAAGCTCTGCCACTTATACCTATGTTGGTCTTAGACAAATTACTTAACCTCTCTGGGCTCTTTTCTACATCTATAAAATGGTGAATCAAAATAAGACCTAAAGCAGCAAATTATTGTGATGTTCAAATGAGTTATTATTTATAAAATGCTTATAACAGTACCTGGCACAAAGTAAGTGCTACATCTAAGTATTTGTCAAGTAAATAAAATAGGAAGTAGAATGGGAAGGGCTTCCTGCTGGATAATGTTCTCCAGAGACTTGTCTTAGCCCCTTTCTCTCTTACTCTTGCTCACATATACCTTATGCCTCCCCAAGAGCTAAAGTTAGGAGGTTATTGGCCCTGGATCGTAGAAGCTTCTGTTCTGGGCTAAACCAGTGAAGTGGTCAGTTAGCACATCTATAGACCTCATACTCATGGACTCAACAAGCTCCAAGGTGCTAAGTAGAAAACAGAAATCACAAAAGGCCTGTCCCAGCTAGCATCAATCTGAGGGAGCATCTCTCCCTAGAACCTTGACTCCTCATCACAGACAGCAGGCATGAGGCCAATGGCCATGGGCCCGGTGTGCAGCCCTCTGGAGGAGGTGAACTCACCAGCATGCTGGTTACTGAGGGGCAGCCTGCCTCCTGTTATGGCCACGCTTGGGCTCAGCTCACCCTCCCTTCCTGCCCCACATCAGAACTGGGATGGTTTCTCTCTTGGTGCTGAGGGTGTGGAAAATGAGCAGCAGGAAGGGGCGGGAGAGGAGAAACTAAAGGCACCCAGTCACAGGGTGTGCGGCAGGAACCTCGATCAATCCCAGTTTATAGATGAAGAAACTGAAACTCAGAGAGGAGCAGCAAACAGGGAAGATCTGAGTTTTGTGAGGCCTGAGTCTTCTAAAACATCTTTGTTTGGGGTGGGGAGGGACGGGGAGTTCTCTTTAAGAGAAAGAATATAGAATTCAAATACAAAATGCCCATGGCCACTACAGTGGCACCCAACAGAAGGAGAATGTGATGGAGAGGAAAGCTGCAGTGGAAAAAGACAGTGGTCTTAACTATTGTGGTTAAAATATCATATTGATGAAAATTTTACCAAAGCAGGAGACTCATGATCACACTACTAGGGCCCCTTATGGAGGCTCAGAGGGGACTTTGGAAAGTGTGAGAATCCCTGAAGCTCAGCTTCATTCACTTCATGGTGAATCCACAGATGCAACAAGCTGAAGGTCACTGAGGTAGGTAGCAGGGCTGGGCTTCTTGATCTTTCCAGTAAACAGTGGCAACTATGATCTATGGGCATGGGCTGGTAGGGAAGGCAGTGGAGGAGGAAAGGGAAGGTAGGGAACATGGAAACCAGTGGTCCCTAATGGAAGGCTTTCAGAAGCCCATCAGCTATTTTCTAAAAGCCAGAGAATGCCAGGAATGGGGACAGAGAAGACCAGAAGGAAGTATGTGTGGAACAAAAGAGTTAAGCCTCAGTGGTGTCAGAGCAGGGGCCTTCCCATAGCTCCCTGGGTGCTGCTGGACAGGCCAGTGTACCTTACTTTGTGTATCCAGTACCATGGGTATAAGATGGCAAAGGAGGAGGATGTGCAGAGGGGTGGAGCTCCATCCCAGGCTACACCTGCCATTGGTTGAGATACCTGTTCTTAATCATGATGCTTCCTTCTTCTGCAGAAAAGTGTTTGTGTGTGTGTGTGTGTGTGTGTGGTGTTGTTGTTGTTTAATGTGGTATTGTGCAGTACTGTATAGAAATTAAGTAAAATCCATCAAGTCTCAGGCCTGGGCTCAAAATGGTCAACTCATTGGGAGACAGTAGAAGGATTCTAGGACTTTACAAAGTCAAAGGTTCTTACCAGAGAGCAGGAGGGCCATCACAAGGAGAGTGTGACTCAGTCCCATAGTGCTAGAGTTAAAAAAGAAAAGATAAAATTTGATTAGAAAATGACACTGAAAATCAAAACATGACATGTGGAGTTTGAGATTCACATAGGCCCACGGATGTGGCAGAGACCATGCTATGTATTCACCAAAGCTATTTCCTTTTCCTCCTGGCTCCACAGATATGCCCTACACCCCAGCCTCCCCTGCAATTAGGTGGGCCAGGGGAATAGTAGGCAGAAAAGACTGGTGTTGCTTCCAGACCTGCCAACAAAGCTTCCTCTCTCTTTGTTCCCTCTCCTGCCTTCTTAGATGCAAAGAATCCAGAGGAAGAATCCAAGGCCCCAGAGGATGGCAAAGCCTCACTATGAAAGGAACTGGTTTAGCGAACAAATTAATGAAACAGCTCTTTCCACCCTAAAGTGATCAATATTGGACTGTAGCATGAGCAAAACATAAACTTTTATTGTGTTAAGCTAATGAAATTTTGGGGATTATTTATTGGAGTAATTAGCATTACTTATCTTGACCAATACAATGGGTTTGATGGGACAAATAAAGAGTATGTTTAGCAATCAACTTGCCTTTGGTTTCCCTGTGATTCTCGAACTTTAATGTGCATAAAAATCATCTAGCAGATCATGTTAAAGTAGTTATTTGGGCCTTGTCCATAGAGATTCTGAATTAGTAGGCAGGGTGAAACCCATGTCTAAAGAACTCAGAGGTGATGCTGCTGCTGCTGGTCTAAGGACCCCTCTTTGAGAACATGATGGAGCCAAAGAAAACAATAGGCATTGCTTTATACTCTCATCTCTTTCTTCCTCTCCACCCTCCCTCTTTCTTTACTCACCCATTTACCCCAACTTAGACAAAAAAGGCTGTAGAATGGCTTACAGGGAAGCATAGAATAGGGGAGAATGACCAAAATTAGAAACAGCTGAAAAGCAAAACAAATGCAAGAATAAAAAATGGAGCCTTGTACAAGCCCAATGCTAAATGTTTACCATAGAAATCTGCTCATCCTGCATGGTTCAGGTCATAGGTTTGGCCTATAGCTTTTTACCAAAGTGAAAATGAAAACCTAATTGGTGAATTAATCTACAGATCTAATTAAGATACAACAAACCAATGCCCAGGAGAAGATGCACAACTATTTCTTATCCAATAGAAGAAATGTCTTCCTTAGGGGTGTCTGTCGAGGAGCCATCTCTGATCCATTTGGGCTATGCTAGATACCCTTTCTCTCTGCTCCCATAGCACTCAGCATAGAACTTTGGGCTATAAGTGTCTGTTATGTTTCTTCCCTTCTAGACTATAACCTCTTTTTTTTTAGTTAAAAATCTTTGAATAGATTATACCTGCACATGGAACTAAATTTAAAAGTTAAAGGTGATAAATAGTGGACAGCAAGTCTCTCTCCCAATCTGTCCCCTAGCTATCTAGTTTTCCTCCACAGACATAACTGGAGTGACCACTGCTATCTGTTAAGTTTCTTGCCTAGACTTGCAGTTATTTTAAGTAAAGCAGAATGAAAACATAGACCCATATTCTTTTTTCATTTCATTTTTAAACACTAGTGGTAGTATTTTATACACAATTTTGCACACTTGCCACTAGCTTAGAGGTTGTTCTGTATCAGCATGTACTGGATATCTTAATTCTAACAGTTGCATATTCTGTTGTATTCTATTGAGTGATAATAATTTATTTTACCAGCCTCTATCAATAGATGTATTTTGCTGCAATGAAAAACCTTGATCATATGCAAAATCACTGTGGGAGTAAGCTATCTTCCTAGAGGTAGAATGGCTTGACCAAAGGGTCAAATTTAATTGCAATTTTAATATTTGAAACATTGAAAAATTGTTTTCCCCTAAGATTATATGTTTATGTCCCCTATGAGCATGCTTCTTTTCACATAGCTTTTGCCAACATAACATGTTTTCTAATTTGTCATCTTTACTAATAAGGAAAGTTAAGATGACACCTCATTGTAATTTTCATTTCTATTATTTAAAAAAATTTTTAAAGTTTATTTATTTTTGAGGGAGAGATAGAGTTTGAGCAGGGGAGGGGCACGGAGAGAGGGAGACACAGAATCTGAAGCAGGCTCCAGGCTCCAAGCTGTGAGAATAGAGCCTTATGTGGGGCTCAAACCCACAAACCGAGAGATCATGACCTGAGTCAAAGTGGGACACTTAACCAACTGAGCCACCCAGGTGGCCCCTCATTGTAATTTTTAAAAATTATTTTTTGGGGTGCCTGGGTGGCTCAGTCAGTTAGGTGTCCAACTTCAGTTCAGGTCATGATCTCACTGTGAGTTCGAGCCCTGCAACAAGCTCTGTGTTGATAGCTCAGAGCCTGTAGCCTGCTTCGGACTCTGTCTCCCCTCTCTCTACCCTTCCCCCACTCACACTGTCACTCTCTCTCTCTCTCTCAAAATAAATAAACATAATAATTAAAAATTTTTTAAATTATTTTTCACTCTGGTAAAATACACATAACCTAAAATTTACCATTTTACCCATTTTTTTTTGACAGAGAGCACACACATGCAAATGGGGGAGGGGCAGAGGGAGAGGGAGAGAGAGAATCTTCAGCAGCCTCCATGCCCAGCATGTTGTGGGGCTCAATCTCATGACTGTGAGATCATGACCTGAGCTGAAATCAAGAGTTGGAGGCTTAAGTGACTGAGCCACCCATGCGCCACCCACCCCCGCTCTTTTTTTTGAGAAAAAGAGAGAGCACATCTTACTCATTTTTAAGTGTACAGTGGTTTTAAGTACAATTACATTATTGTGCAACCATCATCACCATCCATCTCCAGAACTCTTTTCATCTTGCAAAACAGAAACTCATTACTTACTAAACACTAGCTCTCTATTCTCTCCTCCACCCAGGCCCTGGAAACCACCATTCCACCTTATGTTTTCATGAATTTAACTACTCCAGGTACCTCATATAAGTGGAATCATACAGTATTTGTCTTTTTGTGACTGGCTTATGTCACTTAGCATAATTTAATCAAGGTTCATCCATGTTGATTGTATCAGAAATTCCTTCATTTTTAAGGCTTAATAATATCCCACTGTGTGTATATGCCACATTTTGTTTATCCATTCATCTGTTGATGGATACTTAAGTTGTTTCCACCTTTTGGCTGTTGTGAAAATGCTATGAACATGGATGTACAAATATCTCTTTGCAGCCCTGCTTTCATATCTTTTGGGTGTCTAGTCAGAAGTAGAATTACTGGTCATATGGTAATTCTATTTTTAATTTTTGAGGAACTGGCATACTGTTTTCCACAACAGCTGCATACTTTTACATTCCCATCAATAGTGCACAAGAGTTGCAATTTCTCCACATGTTTGTCAACATCTGTTATTTTCTTTCCCTATGGTATTCATCCTAATGGATGTGAGGTGGTTCTTATTGTAATTTTATTTTTTTAATTTTTATTAAAATTTTTTTAAGTTTATTTATTTATTTTGAGAGAGACAGAGACAGTAGTGCACGTGGGGGAGAAGCAGAGAGAGAGGGAGAGAGAGAATCCCAAGCAGACTCCACACTGTTGGCATGGAGTCCAATGCAGGGCTCAAACTCATGAGACCATGGGATCATGACCTGAGCCAAAACCAAGAGTTGGACACTTAACTGACTGAGCCACCCAAGCACCCCTCTCACTGTAATTAAAACAAAATTTTTTTTACATTTATTTGTTTTTGAGAGACAGAGAGATACAGAGCACAAGTGGGGCAGGGGCAGAGAGAGGAGACACAGAATCCGAAGCAGACTCCAGGCTCTGAGCTATCAGCACAGAGCCTGATGTGGGACTTGAACCCACAAACCATGAGACCATGACCTGAGCCGAAGTCGGACGCTCAACCAACTGAGCCACCCAGGCGCCCCTCACTGTAATTTTAGAATGAATTTCTTTTATTATGAGTTTGAATATCTTTTCAAATGTATAAGAGATAACATTTCTTGTTCCATGTACTGTCCATACATTTCTTTTACATACTTTTGAATCTTTGGGCTTTTTACAAGTTTTTCTTAATTTGTAGGAGCTCTTTAATATTTAAAAAATTAGTGTGAATTGGTAACTACTTAGAAAAGTAGAGCTTTATGACACTGAGTTGCAAATATGTTCAGTTGCTGAAGCACACAGTATGTGTTCAGTATGTGAATCTCACACTTGCTCCCAATTAATCTGTCTCTTCCTTCCAATGATTTCAATAGGTTACAGAGCTTGGGCATTATCTGTTGGGCCAGAGCTGACACCACTCAATGGTAGAGCCTAGAGAGTTCTCTGTTTGATTCCTGTGCACTTCCTCATACTAAATCACCACCAGCATCCTATTTGTCATAGAAACTGAGGACTGGGAATCCTTTGAGTCTGAACTACGATCTACTATAGGAATCTCCCATTGTTTGCAATCCAAAAATCAGCATGTTTGACCTAGCCAAAGATTTGTTTTTCCTTGAGGTGATGTGTTGAACAGGGACACAAAATCAAATTATATTTCACTATAAATTTAACAAATCACCTTTAATTCAAATTATTACATGAATCAGTATGGCCCAAGAAATCTTGGACAGATGGTCCCTGTAATTCATATATTGGGGAGAAACACTGCATATGACAAGGAAATCAATACCATTTTAACTTCTCTATTTGGAAATTCTCTCTTCCCCTGAGCGAAAACTGCCTCTCCTTAACTTCCTCTCATTGATACTGGTGTCACTCTCTGGAGCTATGCAGAGAAACCTTAATACACTTCTGCGAAAGCCCTTTAAGAATTTGGGGGCAGAGATTACATCCCTCCTCAAAATCCTGGCCCAGCAGTGAGTCTTTTTAGTAAACTTTACTAACGTTAATTTGAAGATTGCACACTGTCCTGGACAATACTTTGGACATTTTGTTTGTCAGAGACCCTTGTAAAATATGGTGCTAAAATACTTGAGATTGACATGATCCTCTATACCCCATGTGAAGAATTTCTCTCAACTCTAGACATGGCG